CTTAGTAAAATGTTGAGAAATAATTAAATGTTTTTTTGTGTTTTTGGTATAAGTGATCTACGGAAAGAGTTGCTCTAATCATACAACTATTTTTTTTTTATTTAAAAGCTTTATATTTAATAAGTTTATTATATAATTTTTAGTCTAATTTCTTTTTTAATTAGCTTGTTATAAATTTTTAAAAAGTGTCTACAATAATATGATAGGTAGCTGTATTTCTATACTTTTATTTCTTTTTCCTTTTCTATCTTTTATGCTTCCTTCTTAATAAAGAGTTTTTACTTTTCTTCTTTCTTTAAAAACTTTTCTCTTATTTTACAAAAACTCTTCGATCTCTTTGTTTATATTCATTAATTTAACTGTGGCACTTTTAAGAATGATTGAGTTGTTCTATCTCATTTTTTCTCTGTTCTTTTCTAGTCTTTTTAGTCTTTCTAATATTAGGCCTAATATGTCTTTAACATATGAGGTTCTTTCTTGTGGCCCCTTTGAACTATCTTTTTTTTTTTTATTTTTTCTTAACTCTAGTCTTTAGTTGTTATATTTTTTTTATTTTGTACTTTGTTTTTGTAGTTTTTATTTCTCCAATTACTTCTGTTTTTTTTTAATTCTATTTCATTTTTGTATCTATTTATTAGGTGTTTTGTATTTTCTTGTTCTTCTTTTAAGCTTGTATCTTCTTGTATTTTTTTTTATTCTTTTGTGTCTTTTGCTCTCTGCTGCTGCTTTTTTATATTCTTTTATTATCTCTTTGGGTTTTTCATTCTTAGAATATTAAAGTTCTATTGTATTAAATTTTGTTTTTAGTAGCCATATTCATGTTTGTTTGGCTTTTGAATAATACTACTGCATAATCTCTTGGCCTTTTCCATCTATTTAGTGGTATATATATTGTCATTGCCTTTCTAACTTTGAGTTCTCTTAGAAGAATTAGTTCAAATATTTCTTTTAGTATTCTTGTTAGTCTTGCTATAAACTAATTTCCTTCTTTTTTTCTTTTTTCTTCTTCATCTACTGTTATTCTTGCTAGTTTTCTATTTCTTAAAGCAATTACTCATAGAAATATCTGTTCAGCCTCTTCTTTAACTTTAATTACTGCTGTCATCCTATATATGCTTTTTCTCATTTTGCATAAGGATATTTTTTTTATTTTTTTTACTAGGTAATTGACCTTTTGCTCTAAGATTTCCTTCAATAAGTCTCTTATTGTAAGTATTACTAAGTTTTCTTTATTTTCTATATCTGTGTTTTTTTTTATTGGTTTTTCATTTTGTCTTTATTTTCCTTTTCTTTTTTGCATCTTTTTTCTCTTTTATTATTTTTTCTTTTTTTTTGTCTTTTTTTTTCTTTTTTTTCACTTTTATTTTTATGTTCTTCTGTATCAGAAAGCATTCTAAATCAGTCATTGTGTTTTCTTTAAATCTTGTTAATTGCTTCTTCTTTATTGTGTTTACAATCAAAATTAACTACAATCAAAGCATTATCTTTCTTGAACATTTCTTTGACTTTTATTACATGTTTGTTAGTTATTAGTAGTCTTTCTACAAATTTTGACCTTTTTACTTTTGAGCTGTCTGGCATATTATATGCTAATATTTTTGCCACATATATTAGTTTTTTATTGCAATCTCTGTTTATAGATGATCATATACTTTGTTCTAATAGTGCTTTTATAAAACTGCTTCTTTCTATTTTATAATTTCATTTTTTTTTCTCTTTTCTTCTTCTTCTTGACTTCTAATTGCTGCTATTATAGTTTAATAATCTTGTTGCATTACATTTGTTTTTAATGTTTTAATTTCTTCTTCTATGTATTTGTCTATTGTTGTTTCTATTGTCATACTTGTGTCTTCTGTATCTTTTGTGTCTTCTTTATTTCTTCTTCTTTTTTGTTATTCTTTTTCTTCTTCATTTGTATTCTGTTATAGTTCTTTTTTCTCTATTACTATATTTACTACATCTGTTATTTGTCTTATCTTCTTTATATACATTTCTAGTATGATTACTTCTTCTTTTGACATTGTTTAATTTTTCTTACTGCTCATGCTTTCTACTGCTATTGGATGTTAGCTTATATTTTTACACCAGTTGGGTCTTTTATGTCTACTTTAATTATTGCTTCATATATTTTTCTTAGTGATAACATCTTCATTAAGTCTGTCTTTTATAATGCTGCTGCAACTATATCTTTTACATTAAAGTAATTGTCTCTATTTGCTAGTTCTTGCTCTAACTCTTTGCTATCTATAAGTTTTAGTACTGCATTTGTCCTTTTACTTACCAACTTTAGTGTCCTAGACTTTTTTGGTTTTATTTGTATCAACATCTGGCTGTGCTTATATAACTATTCTAAATACTTTTATTATATATACTTTGTAATACTTATATGTCTATCCTGCCTATTTCTATATATGTTTGTTTGTTTGTTTCCTCATATACTCACATGGTCCAAAATGATTTGCAATTCCAGGTCAATGCTGTTTTCTTAAAATTTTCTTTTTGGTTTTTATTTTGTTAAGCTTATCTTCTTTTTAATTGCTATAACTTTTTTATTTTTCTTGTTGTTGTACTTATTAGGTCTGTTTTAAGTGCTCTTTTTTTTTGTCTAAGTTTCTGACTGTTGTTTTGATACTGGTTTTTGTATAAAATATAATTTTCTTTTTTTTGTAAGTTTGTGTTTTGATAATCAGCAAAGAGTTTATATATATCTATTTTTATTAATTAATATAGTGTAAATTTCATAAATATAATTAGCTTATTCCTAAATATTTAATAAATATAATTAATGAACATAAGTTGTTCAAAATAAAGTTCACATATTATCTTAATTTTATAATATTTATTTATTGAATATAAATTTTTTAATGTTTAAAAGATAAACAGGAAATACTATTATAAGAAAAATATAAATTTTTGTTTTCATAATCAAGATCTTTAATTGCTAATTTTTTATCTTTATTTTTCTCTTTATTTTTCAAGGTTTTACAAAAAATGTAAGATACTTATTGGTGATTTTTCTTTTTAACAGTGTTACAAAAAAGACTTTTAATCTCCAATGTTTGTATATTTGCATTATTTCAGCTGCATTATAAATTAAAACATGCATGTAAGGTGTAATATTACTTAGTAAATATAACTCTGAAATTACTTTTTTATTTGCTTTCTAATTTTTACTAGAAGGTGTTAAAAACAAAATTAATCATTCTTTTGTAGCTTTTTCATATACATTTGGATTAATAAAATTACCTTGTAAATTATTATAAAGTTGTAAAAATTTGTTTTATAAATTTCTAATTTTAGCTGCTCATAAAAGTATAAAAAGTAAATTAAAATTAAAGTATTTTAAAACTTTTATCTTATCTTCTTTCATCAATAATATATAGTTCTAGTTTTTTGATTTTTATTCTTTTTAAAATTGAAATTAAACTAAAATATGTTTTATTTTCTCTATAATTACCTTATAAGTAAATTCATCAAAAAGATTATTATTTTGCAATTTATTTAATACTAAATGCCAAAGACAATCAGTTATTCTTAGCATAGTATGAAGCTTATCAATTACCTAATTATCTAATTAGAATCATATTGAAAAGTGAAAAATTTTTATAACTATTATATATAATAAAATTGGTATTTAATTAATTCATTGATTTGCTAATTGTCCATCATGCATCTAAATTTTCTCTATTATCTTTATTCATATTATACTAAGAACAATAGTAATAAGGGTTTGCTTTATTAAAACCTAAACAAATGCATAAAAATTTACAATCAGCAGAGAAATAAAGATTAACATTCCAAGTAATATTATTAATTTTTATTTCTAATTCTTTTAATTTATGCAATTTATTTAAAAATAATAATATCACATTTTTTAAAGAATTATAAGTTTTACTTTCAAGATATAATACTACAACATAATGATAATTTAAAAAATAAAGATTTGTTTTATTATCAAGAATTATATATATTATTATCATATATTTGATCTTTCTTTCAACATTTCTATTATTATCTAATATTTAAAGATTAATATTTGGTTTTGTTAGATTTAAGATATTTTAATTAATTAAAAAGGATATTATATAATTTAAAATATCTTTAATACTATGATATTTAGCTTTTTCAATTGCATTAGTTACTTGTTCTATTATATTTGAATTATCTATATTTGGTTGTTTATTTTTTAGTAAATTGACTTCAAATTCTGTTTTTATATTAATTAACTTGATTGAAATTAAATTTTGCATTTCATTATCAATTTAAATTTTTGTATTAGATACAATATATTCTTGTAGTAAGTTATATTCCAATGCTGTTAAAGTTCTATAAGCCTTTTAAGATATTAAGTTTTGATCTATTACTTGTACAAAAGACATTGCATATTGTTTTTTAATTTTCTTTATTTTGATTATTATATTCAATTGTATAAAAATTAGTATTAACAGAATATTGAAGTAATTCTAAATTAGGAACATCTAATTGGTTATAATATTTATTACTACAGGTTTGAAAATTATTATAAATTTGTATTGCAAACTTTCGAGCCTATTTAGTAAGTGTAAATGAACTTGCTTCACTAACTAACTTTAAACTATTATGTTGTCTTTTTTTTTATGATTTTTTTTAATGCAATTTAATTGCAATCCAAATAAAAGAACATCTGAAGTTCAAGTTGATTATAAAGTAGTAACTTTCTAAATAATATAATAAATTAATATTAAACATAATATTATATTATATATAAAATAAATATATTTAAATTTTACTTATATTGTAAAATAAAGTTGCTGCATAACTTGTACTTTTTTTAAAATTACTTGATTTTTAAAACTATTATCAAAATATATATAGGTTTATTATTAATATAATTAATTGCATATTTTACAGTTTGTTAGTTTTGACTTCTACCTAAGTTGTTTCAATTTTATATTTATCAAGTATTTTATAATGCTAAGCAAATGTATATTTATATTCAAGAGAATAAATTTTTTCTTCAATTATTATATAATGAAAAGTTTTATTTTTTTTTTATAATAAATATTTGGTTTATAAGGATATTTGTAAATTTCTGCTATTTAGAAGTTTAAAATTTGTCCAGAATTTTACTCATTCCAAGGAACACTCTTTCTACTGATCTACATTTTTATAAGAAAGCAAAATCAAAATTATAAAGAAAAGTAGAAAACTAGATTAAGAACAACACTTTGAACAACTAAGTAATAATTTCAAGAAAGAAAAAAAAAATAGACTTAGTTAGAACAACAACTTAAAAAATAAAAGCACAACAGAAAATTTTGGACTTTTGTAAAATTGAGACAAAAATTTTGAAAAATTTGGTGATTTGACTTAGATCCTGAATAATGGTAAATAAACACATGATACATATCAACAATCTTTGATAAACAAAGTACACAGAGCAAACACATCCTATTTAGGAAATACAAACATATTAGCAAAATCAACAACAAACAATCTATAGGGGATTCTAAAAATAGTAAACATCAATAGAATAGTCTAGAAACAAGTATACAACTCATAATAGAAATGATCCATGATTAATTTTTAATTCAACAAATGCAAGAAACAGGTAATATAGTTTGTAAATATTTAAATAGTTGTAAATTGAATCAAGTACTAAGGACAACTATGTTCAAGAACCCAAGCAACATCGAAATTATAACTAAAGGTCTAGCAATTAATGACCTAAAAAATATTATAACAAAAGACTTAACACTATATGGCCAAATACTTGAAGTGCTTAAAGTTAAAACAGAAGTAATAATAACTTTACCAAAAAAAGTTTATTAAAGATTGAGCCAACAAAATAAGAATAGCAAATCTTAACCCAGCATTAGTTGAATATACAGTAGGTATGAGCAAAAAGAAAATACAAAAAAAAGAAGAGAAAATGAAAGGAGTAGAAAAAAATCAAAATGAAAAGGAAAATCTTAACAATAATATACTCACAAAGAAAAGACGTCAAGCAATTAATAATGAAACAGAATTAAGTATAGATGTTGAAATCATAACAAGTCAAATTAAAAAACTTAATATAGAACAGCAATACCAAGAAGCAGATACAAACTACTTTACAGAAACAAGAATAGAAGTTGAAAAAGAAAAGGGCAATAAAAACGTACCAGTAAAACCAACAGAAACTGAACAAATAAAGTTAGAAAACCTCATATCATTACCTATCTTCTCTTTCTCCTTGTCTTTTTTCTTATCTTCAGTCTTAATAGAACACAGTGATTGGTCCTCTAGATACAGAACATGTACAGAAAACAAGTCTTTTAAGGGCAATTTTCTCACTTATATACTACCTAGAGAAACAAAAGAAGAAAGAATCAAATACATTCGATGGATTCTAGGAGAAAACAAACATATAAGAACAATCAAAAAAGCCTTCAAAAAAGGAAATAATTGGATCAAAGTTGATTTTGATTGTAAGCACAGTAGAGATAAAGCAATCAAAAGAATTAGTAGAAAAGAAGGAGAATAGCTTAAGCTCATTCCAGAGAAGACAAAAAATAAAAACAAAGAAAATGACCAAGTTAAGCAATCAAACATTAAAGAAAAACAACTTGAACATAAATCATATAAGGAAAAAGATGAAGATGAAAATCTTCTTGTTAAAAAAGAACTAGAAGAAACTTATACCAACTATCTAACTATTTGGGACCTACTAGCAAACATAAATAGAACAGAATTAGATTTTATTTGCAGAAAAAACAAAAAGGCCAACATAGTTAGAATCAAAAGATCAAAGTACAAAGCATTGGCAATAATCAAAACAGATAAATATGAAGATAAAGACATATCTTAGTCATTACCAATAGATGATAATAAACTAATAAGAGTAACAAAAAGGGATGAAGATTACGAAGAAAGAAATTGCCAAAGCCAATTTACAGCAAAGTTAACAGAACTTTCTAGAAGTGCATCAAAAGTACTTTTGCTATGATGTTTAAAAAGCAAAAGTGCAAAGTCTGTTTATATTCCATCAAACAGAAATGGAAATCAAAGAAGAATAGCAACAATCACCTTTGCAATAAAAGAGGAAATGAACTCAGCCCAAACCAAACCAATCAAATACAACAATTTTAGAGTTTATTGAATAATGGATGAAAAAAGAGAAACAAAAAAGAAAGAAAGTTTAAAAAACAGAAGAAAAGAAGATATAAACAAATCTGGTCAAAACACTGATTCAGAAGATTATAAAAGTGTAGATTCTCAAAAAAACAAAAAATATAAAAATAAAAAAGGGAACAGAAAAGATGTAAATATAGAAAATCAAACACAAATGCAAGACCTTTTATAACACATATTAACTAGACTTGAAAGACTCGAAACACAAAAAGTGCAACCCAAAATTTTTACCAAAAGAGGATGGCCACAATGCTCCTAATTTTCGCTACAGTTGAACCAAAGAACAAGGATGTAGAAACAAAAGTCTTTTCAATACAGAAAAAGAGAAAACAAACTACAAATTAAAAAAATATACTACACCTAAAAGAAATTAAAGAAAAGACTAAAGAAAGAAATGAAAACATAAAAAGAACCAACTTAAATATAGCAGTACATAATATCAATAGCCTTAAGAGAAATAATCAAAAAATGAAAATGCTGTATGAATAGCTAATTGATAATGAAATAGATATAATTGGATTATCAGAAACAAATATTTCAAGCAAAAAAGGTTTTTTTATTACGAAAAATATGAAGGAATATAAGAGTTTCTAGGCAAATTCAAATCCAGAAAAGAAAAAGGGCTCAGGTGTTGGCATACTTATTAATGAACACTGGGAAAAACATCTTGAGAGAATAAATAGAACAAATAAAAACATGATTATGGCTAACTTTGTATTCAAACAACTAGAAATATTAATCATAATGATATATATGCCACCTAATAACAAAGAAGAATGTAAGAAAATTCAAAAAGCAGTAATCAAAAAATACATTAAATAATCACAAAGAATACAGGTAATAATAATGAGAGACTTCAATAGTGTAGTTAATAATGAACTTAATAGATCAGATAACCCAAAACGAAAGTTAGAAAAACAAGTTCTCTTCTTAAATGATTAACAAGACAAGAGCTTTGTGATACATATAGAACAATAAATCCAAAAACTAAAAAATTCTCCTGATCAAGCAGGGACTTAAGTTCAAGAATCGACCAAATATAAATAACAGAAGATTTATTATACAGACTCTATAATGCAGAAATAAAGGAAATAGATATATGCACAAACAGCGATTACAATGTAGTACTAGCAAAAATAGATTTAAAACACTTAATAGCTATATGGGGTTCAGTAGAACTTAAAAGATTTGGTTAACAAAGAACAATTTACCTATATGACAATGCAACAAAAGAAGATTGGAAAAACTACAAGGCAGAGCTTAACTAACAACTAAAGAAAAAAATTAATATACAAGATTTAAAAAACATATTGTATAGTTTAAATAATGCAAGCATGCCAACAAACATAGAAAAACAATTAGATAACTAGTGAGATATTATCTGTAATGGCATACAATCAGCTGCAAAAAAATCACTTTCTAAAAAGAAAGTACTCAATACAATAAAAAATAAGAAAAAGCAGACAAAAAAAGCAAAACTTACCAAAGTACTAACACAATTAGGAAGATAAATCTGAATTGGTAGAATAAACATTAGACTCAATTTTCTAAAGGACAATATACAAGAACTTAATGAGGAAATAGAATACATTAACCAACATCAAAAAACATATATTGAATTAGCATCCAAAGGTTGGATGAAAGAACTAATAGAAGATTTCAAAGGTTGGTAGAAAATATTATATACAAGAAGATCAAGTAAGATTAAAACATTAAAAAGAAGAGAAATAAAAGAAAATATAAAAAAAAGATATCAAATAATTAATTGCAGATAGGGAAAAATGCTTACAAGTTTGCTTGACAAACCAAATAGTAAAATCAAAATAGACAGGCTTATAGAAAACATAAATAGTTATAGAGAATTAATTGTGGAACTATTAGCAGTTCTTAACAAGACCAAAAAACATTTTTAAAACTAATTAAAACTCTGAAATTTTAAAAAAAAAAGCTTAAATAGAGAATGAAAAGAAATTTACAAACCTAAAACATCAATATAGTTAGATTGGTACAAAGATATAAGCCAAGACATCACAGCAGATGAATGGTCAGAAATGCTAACAGGTCTTAAAAAAAATATAGTACCAGAAGTTACAGAAAT